AATCCTACATACTGGGTGATTTTTTAATTACAGTTCTAGTAACCTTTCCCTTTTAATTTGGCTCCCTTTTCTCCTCTATTCCTTCCTCCATCCCACCCACATTCCTGGATGACTCACATTAAAGACCTAGATATAATATATTTCTAATATATATATATTTATAGGGATTGGTGAGACTATTTTAAATAATGAAATTATTTAAAACAATTGATTCTATTTTTACTCAACAATATATCTTATAGAAATCCCTGCAATTCACATAATTCTAATTTATTCTTTTGAATACCTACAAAATGGGGAGTTTTAAAATTATGCTTCCATTGTTTTTAGTATGATACACACTGATGCCAAAAAACATCCTTTCATAAATCCTCACAAACTATTTATCATTCACATGTATACAAATATACTTTATAAATATATTCAAAAGCAGTATATAGGCCGGGCGTGGTGGCTCATGCCTGTAATCCCAGCACTTTGGGAGGCCAAAGTGGGCGGATCACCAGAGGTCAGAAGTTTGAGACCAGCCTGACCAATATGGTGAAATCCCAGCTCTACTAATAATACAAAAATTAGCTGGGCATGGTGGCAGGCACCTATAGTCCCAGCTACTAGGGAGGCTGAGACAGGAGAATTGCTTGAACCTGGGAGGCGGAGGCTGCCACGAGCCAAGATGGTGCCACTATACTCCAGCCTGGGAGACAACGCAAGACTCCATCTCAAAAAAAAAANATACAAATCCTTCCATAATTTGCTTCAGATAAGGTTTAAAATTTATCTTTGTTTATATATGCAAATCTAGTCCACATATTTCCACAGCTGTATAGTATTTTGTTATTTCTATTTTATTTAACATTTTTATTTTACTTAGTTTTCTTTTCATCCTGTTTATTTAGAGTTTTTACTAGGGGTAACTCCTAAATTTGAACAACTGCCTTTTCAACATCTCTGGTTATTCGGTGACACAACTATGGTTTCCTACTTTACATGGTCTTCCTACATTAGTTTGTGGATTATGTTGACAGATTGCCTGATGATATTGAATCATCTTGGCATTTCTGGAATAAACCCTACTTTGTTGTTTATTCTAGTTTTATTTCTGAATTTAATTTACTAATATTCTTGTTGGTTTTTTGAGACAATGGCACAATCAGGGCTCACTGCAGCCTCAACTTCCTGGGTTCAAGTGAAGTGATCCTTCCACCTCAGCCTCTGGAGTAGATGAGACAAGTGCATGCCACCATGCCCACAGCTAATTTAAAAAAAATTGGGTGGCAGGTTGGGGGTAGAGATAGGGTCTCCCTATATTGCCCAGGCTGGTTTGAACTCCTGGGCTCAAGGGGTCCTTCCACTTCAGCCTCCCAAAGCGCTGGAATTACAGGTGTGAGCCACTATGTCTGACCTAATAGCATTTTTTTTTTTTTTTTTTTTAAAGACAAGGTCTGGTTCTGTTGCTTAGGCTAGAATGCAGTGGTGTGGTCATGGCTCACTACAACCTCTGCCTCCCAGGCTCAAGCCATCCTCTAACCCCAGTCTCCCGAACAGCTGGGACTACAGGTGTGTGCCACTATACCCAGCTGATTCTTGCATTTTTGGTAGAGGTGGGGTTTCACCATGTTGCCCAGGCTGGATTCAACCTACTGGGCTCAAGCAATCTGTCCGCCTCAGATTCCCAAAGTGTTAGGATTATAGGTATAAGCCACTGTGTCAAGTCCTGGTCTAGTATCTTAATTGAAATTTTTCATTTATTGGTATAAATAAAATTAATTATAGTTTTCTTTTTGTATCTATATACTTATCAGATTTTCACATTAATGATATAACAGGTTCTTTAAAGGATTCTAAGAGCTTTCCAGCTTTATGTTTGGAATTACTTAAATAACATAGGGTTTATCTGCTTTTTAAAATAAGATCAAATTCATCTGTAAATCCCTCTGTTTCTGGTTTCTTTTCAATGGTGAATCTTTAATAACTTTTTAGTCTCTTTTTAAAAAAAATTGATTATTCAAATTTTTCTACTTCTTGGGATAATTGTGCTAGGAAAACATCAATTTACTCTATTTTTTTCTTTTCTCTTTGCCATAGGTAGCTATATAAGATTCTCTTAGAATTCTTTTAGTATATCCTATATTTGTGTTTTATTTCTCCTTTCTCATTTCTCATCTTGCATATTTTTGCTAGTATTTTCAACTTAATGCATCATGATTTATTAATTACCTTGTTCACAGTTTGTTTTCTTTTATTAAAAAAAGAGCCAGCATCTGGGTTTGTTTATCCCTTGTAAAAATTTTTGTAACTGTTTCATTAATTTCTGCTTTTTATTTTTCCTCTTCAGCTTCTCTTATTTATTCTTTTTCTAATTTCTTCTGATTAGTGTCAGATTTCTTAATTGTCTTTCTTCTTTAACACAAATGTAATTTAAGATTATTTTTATCTACTTACTGTATTTTGGCATAAAAGTCTCCTCTCTTTACAATATAGTGTGAAATTTCCCTTTTGATATTTCTTCTTTGATCCAACGGTTTTCTAGCAGTGTTGCATAATTTCAGGAGAATTCTCCAAGTAATACAAAAGCTTACCAAAGCACTGTTTAGCATAGAACAAAAATCTGTATTTTTTTTCTGGTATATCCTTAAACAGGTAATACTCAACTGGTCACACAGCTGTATCCCGAGAGCCCATGCTTAACAGCAATCAACTTTTTTAAGCCAGTAAGTAGCAAAAGAAACAACATTTTAAATGATGGAAGTCTTTTTAAATCTAATCTCCTTAATGTTGACATAAAAGATAGGTAAAATTTCACAGAAGACTGTAAAATTCTAATGTTACTAAAATAAGATTATACTAAGAGCCCTGAAATCTCAGGGTCATCTTATTAGGTTTCTATATACAGCATTTTCTAAAGAGTATTCCTCACAGATAGATGGGAAAGAAGAGTGGAAAGGAGTTTGGAAAGAGTTGCATTCAATAATGGCCACCTCCTTGGAAATCTTCATAAATGTTAGCATATTAAAGGCTCTAAGAAGTCCTACTTATCTTAACTAAGTATTCTTTAAATGTATTTTTCATTACCTCATCCTTTTTATCAATCAACACCTAATAATTCTCTTTGGGAAATGCAAACCAAAAGACAAACATTCCTTGGAGATAAAGATAATGTAATCAAATTCTCTTCTTCTCTACGGGTTAATGAGCTCAGTTTACTGTTTGCTAAATGACTTGGAGGTGTGATATGGTAACAACAGATATGAGTGTCTATTGTAGTTGTCCCCAGTATAGTACCATAAAAGTTGAATTCTCTTAGTAAGGAGCATCAATATTTTGCACTAAAATACAAATCTTTCTTTTTTACTTTACAATTGTAAATGGAAATTCCTAAGATGTTGGCTCTACCCAAATTCAAATATCAAAACCTAACTTTCTGGCCAGGGTGGCTCATGCCTGTAATCCCAGCACTTTGGGAGGCCAAGGCAGGCAGGCAGATCATGAAGTCAGGAGATCAAAACCATCCTGGCTAAGATGGTGAAACCTCGTTTCTACTAAAAATACAAAAAATTAGCTGGGCATGGTGGTGCACACCTGTAGTCCCAACTACTCAGGAGGCTGAGTCAGGAGAATCACTTGAACCCAGGAGGTGGAGGTTGCGGTGAGCCAAGGTTGCACCACTACACTCCAGCCTGGGCAACACAGCAAGACTCCATCTCAAAAAACAAAAACCAAAAAAAAAACCCTGACTTTCTGAGGAGGCAAAAAAAAAAAAAAAATTAAAAATTATACTGCTGTTGCAATGGCACTGAAAGTACATGCATAAATATGCACATGAACACACACACACCAGCATCATCAGCGTTATCATCATCATCACCACCATCACCACTTTTACTATGCAAAATGTCAGAGTCTGGTGACTCTAACCAGTATCACCGGATCAGAGTATGCTTAGGCAAATAAAAGGAGAAACTTGCCAAATGGTTGCACTGTCCAAATTAAACTAATAAAATGGAACTAAAGACGTATGGTTTCTATCCATTTAGTTTTATGATTTAGCTATACAATTTAGTGGTCATAAATAGACAGTGAATTAGGTAGAGGCAGGAAGCTTCTGAATTGTAAAAACAAAGATCAATTAACATTTATTTAGCTAAAGAACATTCAGGTTTCAAAAATTGTGAGACATTAAATTTTATTTTATACTTGTGATAGCTGCTATTAGCTGCCTACCTCTACTGCCTTTCCATCTTCTTTCTTGCTAAGAGAACTCTAATTTTGTTTGGGGTAACAATACACACACAATCTGAGGGAATAAATAAAAATTGATTTATGTCAATCATAGATCTTGTTCCCCTTCACTATCTTAAGTAACTTTACCAGACTTCCTTGTAGCTGCAGTTAACTATGTATGTGACCTACCCATGTGGCCAGTGAGACCTGAAGAGAAATCTGCTGGTTGGAATCTGCAAAAGATTGTTCTTTCAACATAAAAGATAGCTACACAAGAAGGTCTTTTTGTCCCTGCCTCATCCTTCTTGCCTAGGATACTAGTGTGAGGAAAATGATGCCTGGGGCTTGCAGCCATCATCTTATGACCATGAAGCAACAAGTAAAAGCATGAGAAACTGAGATAGTAAGACCCTGGGTCCCTGATGATAGCACTGAGTCAGCTAAACAAATGAACCTATCTGCCTCCAGATCTCTCATTAAGTCTCATTATCAATAACAAATATCCTGTGGTTTACGCTTGTCCAGATTGGGTATGTTGTCATTGCAGCCAATTGCTTCCTAACTGTGATGAAGAATATAAATTACTAATTAACACTTCAGAATTTAAAATTTTAGAAGAGCAATAGGGAAAGTATAAGACTTTTAACTTTTCACTGCATATCGTGCTGTATTTAAATTGCTTTCATAAGCATGTAATGTTTTGTAACATCAATTAACAGAATAAAATGTTAAATAGCCTTTAAAAGATAAGTAATAAAAAAAGTGATCCATACCCGTACCTTTCCGTGTATTCTCTGTCACGTCTACCCCAAACTGGATAATGTCACCGGAAAGAATTTCACATGGTGGGCTTTCTTCGGAGCCTCGACTCAATCTCTGGCTATTTATAAAAGTACCATTACTACTTTTAGTGTCTTGAAGATAAAACTGCAACAACAACAAAAAAAGGCCAAATATTAATAGTAATAATTCGAAATGTATTTTTTTAAAAAGTGCTTTCAGCTTTGCCAACTACTGCAGGTGAATTTTTCCCCTATTAATTCAAACCACTCATTTTGGCTAAGGTACTCCTTTAACATGTATGAAATTAGAATCCTAAAACTAGGTGATTTAAAATTCAGCTATGCAAAGTGGTATAACCTCTTTGAAAAAGAGTTTCTCAGGTCCTCAAAATGTTAAACATAAAGTTAGTATACGACTCAGCAATTGCACTCCTACGTATATATCCAAGAGAACTAAAAACATATGTCCCCACAAAAACTTCTACACAAATATTAGCATTATTTGTAACAGCCAAAAAGGGAAAATAATCCAACTGTCCATCAACTGATGGACGAATAAACAAATGTGGAAGATATTTATATAACTGAATATTATTTGGCAATAAAGTGATGGTTACCCATCACTTGGGTAACCCTCCCTCTTTAAAAATGGAAAGGATGGCAGGAGGCACTGGAAGCCTACCTATTTATCACTTAAAAATCCTTTAAAAATGTCAGCCTAAGGAAGAAAAGTAAGACACCTAATACACTATATATCAAAATATACTTTTACCATTAGGCCCTCACTTAATATTAAAGCTATGATAAAGCTATCAGTACTTTAGGCCAAGTGTGGTGGCTCATGCCTGTAATCCCAGCACTTTGGGGGGGCCAAGGCGGGTGGATCACTTGAGGTCAGGGGTTCAAGACCAGACTGGCCAACTTGGTGGAGCATGGTGGTGCGCGCCTATAAACCCAGTTACCTGGGAGGCTTAGGCAGAAGAATCGCTTGAACCCAGGAGGTGGAGGTTGCAGTGAGCCGAGATCGTGCCCCTGCACTCCAGCTGGACTACAGATTGAGACTCTGTCTCAAAAGCAAACAAAAAAAGATATTACTACTTTCATTTATAAATGAGAAAAGTGAGATGCAGGCAGATTAAGTATCTTTCTAAAAGTCATAGAACTGGGGAACAGAGAGGCAAGGGTTCAAATAAGAAAATTAAAAGGGCCATTTTTTTCCTCATTACTTCACACCAACCTTTATGTTTCATTTATCCTTCAACCCTCCCACAGCTCTCTTCCAAAATAATTTACAACTAAAGACTAAGATGCAATTTGCAGAAAAATGTTCAAATGACATTTCATTTCAAATTCTTAGCTGACAATTTAAAGGCCACCAGGCTGTCTATAAATTACTTATTCTCTGCTTATAATTCAGAATAGATCAACTGTTACTTTGATTAGCAGTTTGTATATTTAATTACAGACCATTAAGAAAATTATGTTGATATTTTAAATACATTTGAAACTTACAAGACTTAACATTTCATCCAGGGAGATAAGGACAAACAATACTTTCAAGTAGGAATATTTACCCTCAAAATTTTTTCTACATTGGAATTTTTTTTTTTTTTTTTAATAAAGACAGGGTTTCACCATGTTGGTCAGGCTGGTCTTGAACTCCCGACCTTATGTGATCTGCCCACCTTGGTCTCCAAAGTGCTTGGATTACAGGCGTGAGCCACCACGCCCGGCCTCTACATTGGAATTTAATGTTACATTGTATAAGAGTTTTTTTTTTTCCAATAAATATATTCTTGGGAAATGCGGTAATATCTGGATTCTGGTCTGGTTATTTTCAGTAATATATGTCTGAGCAAGTTAAATAAGGGGATTATATAATATTTATAGTAGTTTTCAATACATTTGCGGGTTACTAAGTCAATTTAGTGAGACACAACTAGCATTTTTAAAAAAACATAAAATGGAACAGAATAAAGAATACATGAAATAAGGTTCAGTACTGTTTACCAACACTTTGTTAAAAAGCAAAAAGAAATATGTATGTATACACAATATATATGTATGTATCAGTAACTCATGTTTGTAGCTCTTATGTAACTCTAAAATGACAACATATTTTCAAATTTAAAAGATTTTACATCAAGGCCCAGACACAGTGGCTCATGCTGTCATCTCAGCACTTCAGGAGGCCAAGGCAGGAGAATCACTTGAGCCCAGGAGTTCAAGACCAGCCTGGGCAGCAAAGTGAGACCCCCATCCCCACAAAAGTTACAAAGAATCAGCTGGGCATGGTGATACAGGCCTGTAGTCCCAGCTACTCAGGAGGCTGAGCTGGGAGAATAGCTTGAATTCTGGGAGGTCGAGGTTGCCGTGAGCCATCATCACACTACTATGCTCCAGCCTGGGCGACAGCATGAACCCGTCTCAAAAAAAATTTTTTTTCTTACATCAATATTAACCCAGGTTCTTTTCATTTTGACATGTCTATATTACTGTCCAAAGCATACCATAGTACCTTTGGCCTCCGTTTAGCTTGAACATATAATTTACATCAGTTGCTCATTCTGCTTTCAACCTCCTAATGGCTTTCAAACACTTTAAAATAAAATCCAAAGTCCTTACTATTGTAGACCTACAGGATTTCATCCTGGTTCCCTCACAATTTAATTACCCCCATTCTTTTCCTTCTGCATCCTTTACAGTCACACTAACTTTTCCATTTATACCCCCGACCCTCTGTACTTGTATACAGCTACAGCATGTTAGTTTAGTTCTCTACGAAAACATTTTCATTTATATAATTTAACCTTTTGCCCTTGGTTGTTTTTAAAGATTGATATAAAAAACTAATGATTCTGTTCCTGCTATAAAACAATTTACCATTATTTAGTCTACATTATGTATAGAAGCTATAGAGCTATTCTATTTACCATCAGGTTAGGTTTCTAAAGGTATAAAAACGTTAAACTGGGCCAGGCATGGCAGCTCATGCCTGTAATCCCAGAAGTTTGGGAGGTCAAAATTGGTGGATGACCTGAGGTCAGGAGTTTGAGACTAGCCTGGCCAACGTGGTGGAACCCCATCTCTACTAAAAATACAAAAAATTAGCTGGGTATGGTGATGTGTGCTTGTTATCCCAGCTACTTGGGGTGGGAGGCTGAGACAGGAGAATCGTTTGAATCCAGGAGGCAGAGGTTGCAGTGAGCTGAGATGGTACCACTGCACTCCAGCCTGGGCGACAGAGACTCTGTCTCTAAATAAATACATAAATAAATAAATGTTAAACTGTTTGCAAGAGCCTAGAAAGGGACTATGCCTATAGTCCCTGGGTACATTTCCAGCAAATAGATATTTTACTTGATCCTTTGTCAAATTCAAACCAGATACATCCTCTCCTCTATGCTGATAAACCTTCTTCTATCAGGCTTTTATTCTGGCCCCTTAAAAGAAGTAAGTTTTGACCACATTAAAAAATATATATAAAGAATCTGTTGAAGCCTTAACTACCTTTCTTTCCCAGTAGCCTAAGGAACATCCTAGCAGCTCTAGTGTTTGCATTAGCCACCAGACATTCATTTTGATGTTGAACAGTTGAGTAAGGAGCTCTGAATTTAAAAACCCTGTGTGGCTTGTGGGGAAAGTTCGACAGAAGCACTTTCATTGTTTTAAGGTTTTAATTATTTGATCACCTCCTTGCTTTCCCTGAATAAACTTTAAGTCCCCAACAATCAGGCATTGATGGTTACCCCTATCTCATCAGTCACTTTTCCTTGTCTCTTGCTGATTATCTTCAATGACACAAGAAAAGCATTTTACAGGTTGCGCAATTTGCTCTTTGGTCTTCAGAAAGTTCCTGCTGTAGATGAATTCATTCCACAAATACATGCATTTTGCATCACTTTCAACTTTGCTACAATCTGTAAATATTTTCATTTCCACTATAATGATACAGTGATTTTTTAAAACTATTTCTACATTGATAGGTTTTGCAATATCCAAACACAAACAGATTAATAGCACATTTGAACTAAAGCTTCAGAACAAAGCACAAATACAGTAAACACACCACAAGCCAGGGGTTACAAACTCTAAGTCCACACAGGAGAGTTTTTAAGACATGAATGTAGAATGGATTCAAGGTAGATGACAAATACTGCAACAAAGATTTTTAATCTCCCTGAATCACCACCTAAAATCAGAGTGACTAAGACAACAAAACCAAAATCCCATGGGCAACATTTGCAACAAAAGTAGGTTACACAGTAGCCACACCAACCCCAAAATAAGACTGGGGAAGACCACCAAGAGCCACAAGACCTGCATGGAATCAGCATCTGTGCAGAAGGATACATCAGGAAACAAAGGGGGCATTTGGGGGACTTGAGACAACACCAAAAGAGCTATTAGGTATTCACTGGACAGTATAGAGGCCAATTGAAGGAGAGAAGCTGGAAATGGGAATGGTTTGGCTTAGTCCAATAACAACTGAGTGCAGGGTAAGCTCCTGGAACAGTCTGAGCCATACATATTTTTAAAACCAACCTACCAACCAAAGCTACCTTCCAGCATAGGGCTCCAAACTGAGGGAAAGCTGCTGGGAGCGGAACCAAAATTGAGCGGAACAGGGACAATAGAGACAAGGAAAGAAAGGTTCAGATAAAAGTGGCAAAGGGGAAAGGAAGCCATCATATTTTTAAACATTTTACAAAAACAACAGAAGAGGGAGCTCTGTGAATTAGAAAAGTTATCCTGAACCATGATCCCTTTTTAAAGTTCGGGAAAACTAATTTCATATAAAAATTAGCAACAGAAACGTATCAAGGTCACATCCAGTTATTTTAAGGAAAAAGGGAATAAGGAGCAGAATAATATCTTCACAGATAATGAAAAACAGTCCTTTGGAACAGATCAAAACTGTAAATTTCTATTTCAAAACAAGCTAAAAGACATAAAAATTCAAGACATGAAAGAGCAAAATAAATCACAATTATGCAACTCAAGAAAAGATAAAATAACTCAAAATAGAAGTAAAAGAAAAAATTCATTTTAGAAATGAATACAAATTAGGAGGATCACAAGAGTGACTAAATATAACAAATAATGCCTTAAAGTAAATCAAAGGTAAAAAGGGTAAATCTTTTT